TAAAAAAAAAAAAAAATGCCCCCCCCCCCGGGCTGTTTACTGTCAGCCGCAGGAGAGGGAGGCAGCCCTTATGCATAAACATCTCTCCTGCTCTTATGCTCCAGCTACGGGCATGTCCCCCCCCGCCCCAATCAATCTTCTTTCATGCGTGCGTGTCAGCACGATGTGCCTGGCTTTTACCGGGCAATCTTCTCCTGCAGACTTTTACAGCACCTCCCGTTTATTCTGAACTATGGGCACATAGAGAGAGAGATAAATATCCAGCTCTCCAGATCTATAGAAGCTGTCCATCTATAGGCAGACACTGTATAAGAGTCTGAATGGCCGGGTATACATCTTGTCTTAGGAAAAGCCCTCCTTCTCCAAGCATCCTCCCACAGCATGGGTGCTGTAGGGGGGGGGCTGGATCAGGCTAAACTCACTCTCCCTGCTGCTGTGCTCCAGCGTGGCCTTGCTTCAGCCGACGCTTTCCGTCCGTTTTCAGCAGCAGGGGTCTGTAACACCCTGGCTGGATGGGAGAAAGTGGGCAGAAACCCGCTGCCCCTGTCACAGGAAAACCGGGGTCCAAAGGGGTGTTGGACTGTGGGGGATGCAAAGTCACCCGGTGCCCTGGCACTGCAAGGAGAGGGACACTGGGCAGCTGCTGGTGAGGCCAGCGTGGCTGGCATGGGTGGCTCGTGGTCCTTGGGATGCAGTGGGAGCAGAGGGGAAGAGACATTCGCCCATGTTGAAAAAGCCTCTGCAGGTGGGGCGGAGGTGGTTGGTGTCCTGTACCCCTGGGTCACAGCTGGGACCACATGGGTGAACCCCTGGGTGGCCCGGCAGCCTGGCCCTTGGGGGACAGGGGTGGCCACGGGGATGTGGCCGTGTCCCTGGTTGGGGGTTGCGAGATGCCATCCCAGAGGGAGCGAGAGGCAGGTGGGGAAACAGGTGGCAGGGAGCAGGACATGGCCTGAAAAATGGGGTGCAGAAGGGAAAAGCATCACATGCGTGTGTCTGTGCATGGAGGAGCCGGCAGAGCTGTGGGCTCTGCTATTCTGGAGGGTTTTGGTGAAGGTTTGCAAATGAAGATGTGCCGGGATACCGGCGAGGCGAGGGGTGGCAGCTCATCACCCCGCAAAGCACCAGCTGTGCCGGCCAGGTGGGAGCACCGCAGCGGCGAGGGGGGGCTGCGGTGGCTGACGCTGCTCTTGTCTCCATCTCTCTGCCCCCTGCCCAGAGATCCCCCAGTGCGCAGGCTGCAACCAGCACATCCTGGACAAGTTCATCCTCAAGGTCCTGGACCGGCACTGGCACAGCTCCTGCCTCAAGTGCGCCGACTGCCAGATGCAGCTGGCCGACCGCTGCTTCTCCCGGGCCGGCAGCGTCTACTGTAAGGAGGACTTCTTCAAGTGAGTACCACTTGGGGGCACAGCCCCCTGAAAGCGGCGTCTCCCTGCCCGCCAAGCAGGCAAACACACATTTAAGTGCAATTTCTCCAAAATCTTCATCTATCTTCCTTTTTTTTGTTGTTGTGGAAATAAAGGAAATGTTGGTGCTTTATAGCTGCCGCAGGCTGGATGCTCTTTGTTGGGATTTAACCTTCTGAAAGACTCAAATCGCTCTGATTCTCCCATCCCTCCCCTGTGCTGGTTTCAAACCCCCGTGGGAAGGCGAGCTGTGGTGGTTCGGCAGTGGCCCCGGCTCCGCTCGGAGCTAGAGGGCAGGAGAAACCCATGCAAGGCAGCGGCAGCGCTGCCTGCTCCTGCCCGAGCCCCTCGCTTTCCTCACCGGGGTTTGCTGATCCCGTTTCTCTCCCTTCATCTTTTCACCTTTTTTTTTTCCCCCCTATCCTTTTTTTGCTCCTGGTAGTGTAAAAACCTCCTTTGATTTTGTTGGCAGCTGTCTCTGAGCTGTGCGATGCCCCAGCCTCGGCGTTTCCCTGCTCCCGTGGGACAGGACAACCGCTTTCCTGTTAAAAATGGACTTTTCAGCGGGGATGCTCTAGTCCCTGGCTGCTGGCGAAATCTGGGAGCTTTCCCAAGGGATGGCAGAGGGTGTTGCACCGGGGCTGGGCACAGCTTTACTGGTGGTGAATCGCCGTGAAGCGGAGGGGTGCTGCTTTACACCTCCTGCGGGGAGGAGGGCCTGATCCTGGCCAGTGGGTGCTTTTTGCTGCCCGGGTGCAGGTGATGGGACCGGGCTGAAAAGCAGCTGCCGCACCTCGGGGACCGGGGCCGCCTCCCCACGCCATCATCTCCTGCTCATCCCCGGCCGCGCCGGCTCTCCCAGTCATCCCCCGCTGCCGGCTGGCCGGCTAAACCAACCGATGGCGATTACGCCCCGCGCTAATCCCGGGGCAGGACTTTCCCTGCCTGCCCATCCCTGGGCTCTCAGGCCTCCTATGTCCCTCCCCCCCCCCAGCCATCAGGGCCAAAGACGCATCTTGAATTTCTCCTTCCCAGCTGGGGAGCGTGCAACGGTCAAAGCAGCCGCTACAGCCTGGGTAATAACACTTCACTTCTGATATTTTCCAGCCTATTAATCTCCAAATCATTTAAATAGTCGCCCAAAAGGTGCGGATAATCAATGTTAATTAGAGTTGAAAGATCAGCGACTTTCTTAGATGAGGTCCTGCCTGGATTATTTGGTGCCAATCAATAGCATCTCGGCGCTCGCTCAGGCTCTCATCTCACCTTTATTTCAACTGCTCATTGATTTTGGGGTAGGTAACCTGCAGAGGACGTGAGGATTTAAGGCCAACTTCAGAGGCAGGTTTGCAATTTGGGAGGCACTTCCGAAAAGACCAGATTTTTTGATTTTCATCTTTTTTTCCCTCCCCCAAATTGCAGCTCTTGGTCCCCAGCTACAGGCAGCTCTGTCCTGGGTCTGGCCATCCCCAAGGTGGTGCGGAAACACTCTGGGATGCTGGGGGTGTGTGTTAAAATGACTTTAATAGTGTTATGTGAGGGGGGTGTGGATGGGCAGAGGAAGGATGGGGGCTGCAGAGCATGCACCGGCTCAGCCTTGGGCACAGAAGAGCATCGTCTGTCTGCCTGTCCTGTCCCTCCCTCCCTCCGTTCCCTCCTTCCCTCCATTCCCTCCATCCCTCTCTCCATTCCCTCCATCCCTCCATCCCTCCCTCCCTCTCTCCATCTCCTAGCCCTCCATCTCCCATCTCATCCCTCCGTTCCCTCCTTCCCTGCCTCCCTCCCTCATCTCCCATCCCACCCTCCCTCCCAGATGACTCTGGGAGAGCTGAGGTCTCCCCAGCAGATGTCTGGGGACTCTCCCTTTAGGATACAAGCCCAGAAAATGAGACAAAACAGGTTTTCCCTCCTCGCCTTCTGCTTCCCAACACCCCTTTGGGCAGCAGCTGAAATTGCACCAGCGCTACTCATGCCCAGTGCTCGCCGCCCGTCCCTGGGTGACACCTGCATGACTCAGGGACAGTCTCAGGGACCCAGCTTTGGTGGCCGTGCCCTGGCTTTCTGGACAGGGTGGGGGCCCGGGCAGCCGCGGGGTTCACAGGGTGATTTTGCATGCCCCTCAGGGGGGCAGCGAGAGGTGCCCGGGGTGGCTGTACCCCCCTGGGCACCCCCAACCGCCACCACCTGCCCTTGCAGCCTTGCGGCTGGGGGCCAAAGGGCTTGTGTTTTCCTGGGCTGCCCCCTTCGAAGCAGATGGGTCTGTTTAAGGCACAGGGGGCAGATTTATTCTGATAGCTTTGCTGCCTGGGCTGCTGCTGCAATGCCAGGATGGCTCCGTGGGGTTCTGGCACCCCACTGATGGGGTGTTTAGGGGTGCTGGGGAGAGCAGGGGACATGTAGCAGAGCCCTTGTGGTGCCGGCGGGAGGTGGGGATCTGCCCCATGTCAATCCCAAAGCATCTGTTGCTGAAAACACCAGTGGAATGTCCGCTTATTTTTGATTTTCTCCTGTGCTGCCACCACCTCGTGGCATGGATCGCCCTCGTGCCGTTAATTCAGTTTACACCCGGTGTTATCCAGGCATTATCCAGGTGTTAGCCCTCATGTCTGCATAGGGCAACCGCACCCTGCCACAGCCTGGGCTGCACCCACACAGGCGCGCCTGGCGCGATGGGTACCCCAGGCTCTCGGCAGCAGAGTGCCTGCGATCTGCGGGGGCTGCTGGGTGAGACGTACGCTCCTTGCACGCTCCTTGCACGCTCCTTGCACACTTCTTGCATGCACCATCCACAGTTCTTGCACCATTCTTACATGGCACTTGCATGCTCCTTGCACGCTCCTTGCATGCTGCTTCCACACTTCTTGCACACTTCTTGCACACTCCTTGCAGCCGTGCTGGCAGGCTTGCTTGGGCCCATGCCTACCCTAAGCTGGCCCACCTGATGCACCTGTCGGGCTGTCATTACGGTGCAAGAGCCCCATCATTCTGCATTAATCTGGGATTCATCATGCTAGCGGGGCGGTGTAATTAATTTATTTGGTATTAATGTGGATGAAATATGTACTGTCCTTGCAGGGAAAAATCAGGCAGCCTATAAGCATTACTTAAAAGAACCATTAAAATCAAACCTTCCTCAGCTCCATTAGGCTGGTCTTTCACACTGAAGAAGATAAACCCCTGCCGTGTGAAGTGTCATGCATAATTAGGTTGATTGCTGGTTTAAACTCTGCCCTGTCTCCTGGTCCCCACCCGGTCTCTGGCAAAGCCCACCTCGCCGGGGGGCTCAGGGTCGCCCACTTCTCCTTGCAGGCGTTTTGGGACCAAATGCACGGCGTGCCAGCAGGGCATCCCCCCTACCCAGGTGGTCCGCAAAGCCCAGGACTTCGTCTACCACCTCCACTGCTTCGCCTGCATCATCTGCAGCCGGCAGCTGGCCACGGGCGACGAGTTCTATCTGATGGAGGACGGGCGGCTGGTCTGCAAGGAGGACTACGAGACTGCCAAGCAGAACGGTAGGCACCCCGAAAGGGCTATGAGGCGGGACACCACACCGAGGGCTGGGGAAAAGCCCATGGTGTGGCCATGGGTCACGTCGCTGGCATTGTACCTGCGGGAAGGTGTCACTGCGGGCTCTGGGGCAGCTGGTTTTGGGGAGCTTTTCCCCAGCAGCGTGGGCTGGCGGTTTGGGGTTGCTCATGCTGCTGTGGTTTTGGCTGGTACCGGCTCCTTCTCTTGCAGATGACTCCGAGGCGGGCGCTAAGCGTCCCCGGACCACCATCACTGCCAAGCAGCTGGAGACGCTGAAGAATGCCTACAAAAACTCCCCCAAGCCCGCCCGGCACGTGCGGGAGCAGCTCTCTTCTGAGACAGGTCTCGACATGAGGGTTGTGCAGGTGAGGCCACCAGGATGCCCCTCTCCGCCTTGCCCCTAGCAAAGGGGGACACAGGGGTCCCACTGGGGTGCTGGGCTGCAGGGGTATTGGGGCTGCAGGGGTATTGGGGTGGCACAGATGCCTGGGAGCTGGGTTGCTGGGGTGCTGGGTTGCATGGGTGCCTGGGAGCTGGGTTGCAGGAGTGCTGGCATGCAGGGTTGCAGGGGTGCTGGCGTGCCAGGATGCAGACATTCTGGGGTGCTGGTGTGCCAGGGTGCTGGCTTGCTGGGGTGCATGGGTGCTGGCGTGCTGGGCTGAGGAGGTGCTGGGTTGCAGGCGTGCTGGCATGCAGGGGTGTCAGTGTGCCGTCAAGGTCCCCATTTCTCCCCAGGTGTGGTTCCAGAACCGCCGGGCCAAGGAGAAGCGGCTGAAGAAGGACGCGGGGCGGCATCGCTGGGGGCAGTTTTACAAGAGCGTCAAGCGGAGCCGTGGGGGCGGCAAGCTGGAGAAGGAGAGCTCGGCCGAGGACTGC